ATATGTTGGCTCTGAACATTCTAAGATTACTGCAAACAGGGAGCCTTGGACAGCATCTAAAGAATAACTGCAGGGTGCTCAAATCCCTTCACCTGAGGAAGTCTTCATCATCTCACAAAGATGACAACAGGTTTGCCTATACTTACGTTGGACTTAGACAACTGCTTAAATAGAGTTGCTGTCATTCTCATTTCACCTGTAAAGGATGTTAGATTAAAGAAATATCTATTTATGCTTCCAGTCAATTAAAGATCCCACTTTGCAGATATCAATAGTCTGGACAAAAACCAAGCTGCTGGGCCTCTTAAGATTGTCAAAAAACAGATTCAAGTGAACTGCGATCACATATATGATCAGATAAAACCATCACTTATTAGTAATTCTATCCCATCCAGAGTAATGTCATACACAGATAGAAATAAGCAACCAATCAAAAGTTCTCTAGGGGAAAAACAAAGACCCTCCCTCTCCTGGGTATGCCATATGGGAGAAAAGCAAAGCTCCAGTCATGTCTTAATTACCAGGATAACACACACGTTGTATAAATTGTTAGGTTTTCTTATCAGACATCAATAACGTACAGTCCAGCAACACTATATATTTGTTAAATGAAAAAAATATCATTTTTCATTTCTCAAGTGTTCACCTGAAAGGTGTAACAAACCTCCTTATTTTACAAGGGATCCTGACAGTGACAACAAACTGTTTTCTCAAAACTAATTGTCTCCTCAGTAGAAAAACTCCTGAAGTAACAGATTGCACTTCTAACACTACTGACAAAGCGATTTTTAAGAACTGTCGTAGGGAACAAGAGGCCTCACCTTGCCACAGAAGGAGCAGGTATACTTGGCGTGTTGGCTGATTTCAATCTTCTTCACCATTTTCCTTAGGGATGCACCATAACGGGTTCCATATTTACCCACAATCCCCACCTTCTTGGTGCGCTTGGCCTGTCAGGAAGCAAAACACAGCCGGCTGCAACTTCACCGCCATCACACCCTCCTCAGCAGCTCCTGACACGGGCCTCAGCAGTCAGAAGTGGTGCTGCAGACAACCAAAGCTTCTCGCAGCCTTTATACACGGTGTTCTTCGCTCAACTAGGAGGAGCACGTTCTGACACAGCCAAACCCGAGCACAGGTGTCTCCTTCCCTCCAGGGCCGCCCCACTCCGAACCGGGCCCGGCCTCCTACTCCCCCCACAAGCCTCCGAGGACGGCACAGGAACGAGGCCTACCAGGAGAATCCCACACAAAGCCTCCACCCAGGCCTCCCGTCGAGCACGTAAGCTCTCCCGTTCCCTCCCCTCTCCGCCGCCCCCTCGCCATGCCCAGCAGCCTCTGCTTAGTGCCTCTGGGGCGGATGGAGGCGGATAGGCCGCGGCGCTGCGGCACTGCTCACCATCTTACTTCCCGGCGCCGCTACAGAGAGAGGAAGTTGCCGTGCGCAGGCGCAGTATGAGCTGTCGCGCCGGAAGCTGGTGAGCGGGGACCGGATGTGGCGCACCGCGGGCTTGTCTGCCCGTGGAGGCGCTGAACTCTATGATCGGCGGCGCTCTCCCCCACCTCTGCGGGAAAAGTGCCCCAAAGCTGGAACCGTTGTTAAACCGTCCCGTGATAACGGGATTATCCACAGCACAGTCAGTGGAAATTTTTTTACAACCACGATTCAGATAAAATCGATGTGCAGCAGCACCAGGCGTTACTGGGAGTGCAGATGATGGTCTTCCATGCAAGGACAGCACAAAAGAAACCAGGAGGAGCGATCCGCGGGGCTCCCTGCGTGCACTCCTCCATTCTGCGTGTGGTTCGGGCTGATGGTGGGACAGTCGAGGGCTCAGCGGGGCTCCAGGCAACAGTATTTGTACCTCTCTCTCTCTCTGCTGAGTCAAACTCATTCCACACATCCTAGGAATACATTTGCCCTTTTCGGATCTTCATCATAACGATGACTCACAGGACACATCTTCAATACTAGCCTATTAAAAAACAATAATAAAAAGTTCCTCTTGCTGCTTTGTGGTTATTTTGGTTAAGAGTGAATTGTCAGCCAACGCATCCAGGACAGAGGATCTATCACTGTTCTCCAGTCTGTGCCTACAGTTAAGATTTGCTTTAATGCAGTATACAGTCAGATCCTTCACCTACCATTACTGCAGGCAGTTCTGTCAACAGCCAAATCCCAGCTCCCTCAGACTGCAGCCAGTCCCAGCACTGCCAAAATAAACGTGATTCCAGGTGTCTGAGAAGACGGATGGGTGCAGAGAAGCTTGCACAGCTCCCAGAGCCTTGTCTTGGCTATCATCTCAGCCTATTCTGCACAACCCTGGTTGTCAAGCTTCAAAATACAGCAATTGAATTACTACTTTTTATTGCTCAAGTACCCATTGTTTCAGGTTGGGCATCCTTCCTTGAAAAGTCTATTTGTAATACAGGTGAAAGGACAAACAGAGGTGTACAGAAAGGTAGACCACTCACCTCAATAGAATGCTCCAAGTTCAGTTCCAGTACAGAAGAAATAATCTGCAATTTTGAGTCTGAAAGGTCTGAGCATATCCAGACACACACAATGATAATTATGGTTGTTCTAGAAGTGTCCCTTGCTTGTCTAGTAGGCTGATCAGCATACTTCTTGTTTGAACTGTGGCAGCATCAAGATGCCCTACTGCGCTGGATCACGTAGGAAACAGTCTGACCTTAAAAAGCTCCCAGAACATACAGTAAACAAGAGGAAAGTACCTTAACAGACATCCTACGGCAAAGGTGAAGGCCCCAAGTAAATCACAAGTATCAGAACTTGCCACATTCCATTTTCTGTAATGGAAGTTCCATTCACTTTACTGAGATCTAGATAATAGAGAAAAACAAACAAACAAAAAAAAGCTACAGTGTGTTGTGTCTTTGATGGGCAGATATAAGAGTCCCCAAAGCACTGCATGTTCCTGAGCCTGCCGGTAGATCTCACTGGCAACTTGCACACTATCTTGTACAACTTCTCAGCAGCAAGCCTTGGAGAGCCCATCTAAGGCTGCTGGCAGCATCCCAACCACTCATCCTATTAATGACAGACTAATGGTATAGCTGGGCTAAGGCATGCACAGTCTTTCTAACCCCTTGATGTAATGACTAAAAGCACTCTCCTTCAAGATTCTTCTTCCCTTTTTCATCTAGCATGGATAAACCAAATCTCAAGTGTACTTGAAGAGCCTCAGTTAATCCTGCAGCAATCCAGCTGAGATTTTATGGGTCCTAACAAAGAAAGAGTACACCTGGCATTCCTCTAACAGAACTGGGACTGTTCAGTATATGAATTAGATAAATTGAGTTTATGAGAAGCAGAATTCTCCAAGGGCATTTTCATCAGATTTCAGAAAAAATACTGTTTTGAAGTAGCTGTACCTTTACAAAGAAGAGAATTACTTCTATAGGAAATGACAATATGGTTAAACAAATAATGCCTCCCATCTGTTTTTCAGTAGGTAGATGGCAACATTTCTCACCCCTTACTCAGAACAAGTACAGAACACTTCTCTTCAAGTGGAAAGATTGTGTTCTAGAAACAGATTAAATACTCCCATGTTCAAGAAGGAAGCCATTTAAAAGCATTTTAAAGTGTGTATTTGTCTCCTGGCCAGTTGTCAGGGTAAGAGAAATAACGTTTAACTTTTACTCTCAAATCCAGAGACAAAACATTTCCCACAGTTGGGCAGTCACTCCATCTTCAGTCCTACACTTCTTCACTCGCACACACACATCAAAGCACCGTTTCTAGTCATGAATGAAAAGCAAATCTCTACCCAGCACAACTGCAAACAGCCTGCAGGGCATTTCCATGACGACACTTGCTGAAAATGGAATAATCAAACCCTTTGAAACAGGAAAAAAAATATCCTAGTTATTATCAGTCTGATCCTGTAGCACAAACCTTTTCCTCCTTTAGGCCTACCACGGAAGAGAGGGGTTTTTTGCCACTGTCTGGTATCTGCACAGAGCTAAGTGTGTTCCCTGCACAGCACATTAGCTCCTGCCCTCCAGGAGCTAAATGTAAGTCTTCAGTTTGCTATTTCCCTACCCTGCACCACAGATAATGGCTATAAACTGTTGTTAGCTGGCACCTCTGGAATTTTATCTTCTCATGTACACCCTGGTGAACATTTGCATAACACCAGTCCACTTCCAAGCGTCTTCCAGTACTAAAGACCAAAAGTGGGAAAAACATGAATTTGGAATTATATTACACTGCACTGCACTGGAAATAACATACACCATGAAAAGACAACTATGCAGAGATGCCTGAAAAGACCAGTTACAATCAATAGAGTCATTTGCCTTTACATCAAGCTCACAGCAAAAATGGCCTCTAGAATTATTGCTGAGCCAGCAGTGCAGTGTAGTAGACTCAGATCATTCACAAGGAATAACGATTGTGTCACAAATCCCTGAAAGGAACAAAAGAGTAGGTTTGCTTAGATAGCACTGATGCTAAGATTCCAGGTCTCAGCAGCTCAGAGCACTAGCAGCAGGATGGAGACTATTACAAATTGAAAACACACAGTTTATTCAATACGTCAAACAACAGTCCTGCTTATACATTCTCACTGTAAACTGTACAGAGGTGTAAGGGATTGAATAACAAGTCTTAATCAGCCTGAATGCCTTGTGGAAGTAGCTGCTGATGCACCTCTAGACAAAATATCATGGGTGATTCTCTTCTGAAAGCTCATGTGTTTTAGAAAGCACAAGAAGAAGCATCGCTTCTATCCACTGTAAATACACACACACACAAATCAACAAAACAACCCCACTAATATTCTCACTGCATCATGTCTTCTAAGCTTTAGGACCCGCCTGGACACCTACTTGTGCAACCTGGCGTAGGGAACCTGCTTTGGCAGGGGGGTTGGACTCGATCTCTGGAGGTCCCTTCCAACCCCTACGATTCTGTGATTCTGTGAAATGCAAGATGAAATTCTAATACAGAAAAAATACTTAAAGCTTGGGAACTGTGAGTTAAAACAACTTTTTATTTAAGTTACTCAATCCAGAATCAACTTCCTACAAAAAATTGAACAGTTCCATCATGATCCCCTCTCCTCACTCTCATCTGTGGAATTAAGTCTTGAGCCTAAAAGAAAACACACATGCACACACACTCCTTCCCAAGTAGCCAAGCTTAATCTCTGTCAGTAAGCACAGGCTTCACCCTTCACTGAGACAAGCAAGTGCTGTGGAGCGGGTCCTAAGATTTGGAGGATGAGGCCAGAGACAAACATGCTCAGGCAAATATGTGCCTAACAGGCAACACGCTTGCTAGTAGGCCGTTAACAGTGCCTGGTTTCAAGGTATTGCCAAAATTTCTGGGGCTCTCCTTCCTCTTGCTCACCTGCAGAAAATATCAAGAACTGCTGTGTGTATCCCTATTTCTTTTCTACTCTCTGCCAAACTGAATATGAGAGCTAGTTTGTGCACGACTCACATAAGAACAAAATTCTGCCTGTGAACCAACTCCTCATAATACACGCTAAGCTTTTTGGAGATGACTGTTGAAAGCACTCTGCAGTTGCTGATACACTAATTCTCAGAAGAGCTCTTCTATGTGGACAGACAGGAGTTATCTGTTTTATAAATAAAACAACTGTGGAAGCTGAGTTGCCAAAACAAAGCAGCATGCTACCTTCCCATGTCCACTCAGTCATCAGCAAAGGCAAGACTGCAAGACCAGCAGGCTGCCAAGTGTGCAGTGCTCATCTGTCATGCTGTCATCCTTCGAGATGAAATGCACTACAGATACAGAAAATTTGAAGTATTTTATTTCTGAAAACTCAAAAACAATACCTGATTTTTTTTTAATTAAAAATATACGTCAGCCACTTCTGCTGTGTTACTCTTTAATAAACTCCTCAGTACGCCGCTTTTTGAGGGAACTCACTGAACACCTCTCTTCTGCATCTTGAAAAGCACTGTCAGAGTCAAACTCACAACAAGCATCAGCTGCTTCCAAAAGTGCAACATCAGTATCATCTTTGCTGTCAGAGAAGGTCCTCTGGAAAAGTTCGTAAATGGTCTTCTGCTTTGGATCCGGCTGAGAAATTAGAACACAGAAGATGTATATGCATTGTCATATAAAAATCATAGTGAGAAACAACCAAAGTGTAATCTCACATTTCTAGTTCCTTCCCAGCTTTACTACCCAATACAGAATTCAAGCCCAGAAGGGATTGGCTTTACTTGGGTGATTCAAGATCTATCTGAATCTGAATTCTACACAAGGTCGTATGTCATTACTTTCTGTCAATAAAAGGTAAATATTCAAAATACTGCTACGTCTTTAATGAGAAGAAAAGAAAGGATGCAAACTCTGGAAAGTAAATAAAGACAATGATTCAATAGGAGTTGGACATCCTGTTCCGTGATATTGAAGGCAGAACAGGTGTAAGGTCAGCCTACCAATTACATACCAATCTAGATGTACACAAGCCAAAACCCATTCAGCCTCTCCTGGGGACCACCAACATTTTTTCAGGTCAGTTACCTTAGGATAGTAATTAGTAGATTCAGCTGTATTGGAGAAATTGGTTTCTGAAAGCCCTGCTTCTCCCAGCACTTTTATTTTCTCTTGAATCATTGGCCTAGAAGAGATAAACAGTTATTACTGGAAGGAAGAAAATAACATGCAAGATTCTGTGGCCCAATGAGAAGGATGCTTAGTCATTTAGTATGTGTAGATTAAAAAAAAAATATATATATATATATATATATATATATTAAATAAGTGACAAATAAGAGGATGTGATTTCAGGTCATTAATACTTGGAGGAGTTGCATATTCAGGAGGAAAAGTAGTTGGCTGTGGTGACACTGATGGTATGAAGTCAGAATAAGAAGATGCAGTTAAAGGGAACCTGAATAGCCTACGTGTTGAGTCTCCAAGGCAAGCAGCAGTATAATGCCTGTCAACAGCCAGATAAACATTTCTGGGGTATCTCCCATTGCACTCCAGAAGTAAGAATCCACTGCTGGGTCAAAATGTCTAGTGAAGTTCCAGCAGCATCTCCACAATGAACAGCAAATATCCTTGTCTTTTTGTTCTTTTTCTTGCCTTTAAAAATGATGACAGTATCCGTCTTTGAAGAGCCACATTTCCTTCCAGCTAAGCATTAATGACTACATAGACAGCATTTCACAATACAGGCAGAATTACTGTCATTATATTTCTGTGAAACGTGGGCAATGCATCAGTTTCCAGATCCCTGCATTGTAGGGTTATAATTATTTGCCATCATGATATTCTAGAAACTGGACAAGTTCATTTACCCCACTTGTTCCTTTAAATGAGGTAATAAAGAAGTAATTGTGGACTTAAAATGAACCAGCTGGTGGATAATTTATTTTGGTCATTTGCAGGTCAATTCCTTTGCAGCAGAAAGGATTCCTCAGATTCTCCACTACTCCATGATGTCAGATTCCCTAGCCTTAAGGGCTGCAGTGACAACTCAGACCCTATTTACTCAGAGATGGATCAGCAGCATTTCTTTATCAAAGGGCTTACTGAAGAGCAAGACAAAAGCAACAGCGCAGTCATCCTCTACACCCCCTGTCCAAGTGCTCCCCAACCAGCCAGACTGCTCCTCAGACTTGATCCACAATACTCACAACTGACTCACATCCCATCTCCAGTACCTGGTGGGTTCACTGGAACATACTCAACACGTTACAGTACCCCTGCATCAGAACCCTCTGCACTGTATGTGAGAAACTTTGTCTTGGAAGCTGTGAAGGTTTTAGGATGCATCACCCTTCCCAGATTTTTTCCTCAGCAGCCCCTTCTTTGCCAGACAACTACTTGTATTCCTCCTTTGTATCACCCACTTAGTTGTAGCCACTGTGACACTGTGCTGACTCACAATTTCACTGCAGCCCTGGCTAGCAATTGGTGCTTCTCCCCTGGCAGACTGTGGAGACCAACACTAATATTAAGCAACTTCTGTGTCACATGTGACGTACTGAAATTAGGCAGCAGGACAACCAAGGAGACACTCCCCACTTCCTACCATAAGAAGTCATCTGCTGTGCCTCTAGCCACCAAGTAGTGGACATTAACAGAGCTGGTCTGTCCAATTCGATGCGCCCGGTCTTCTGCTTGGATCAAAACCTTGCATCAAAAACATTACAAAGAAAATCAATTGAAAGCTTCAACATCTAAGGAATAACAAACAACAGTGAACAGGGAGACCTCCTTCCTTCTGCACTGTGACTACTTGTTATCCGGATCCCATTAACTTCTGCATCCTTCACCACAGACTAAAGACAAAAAGTCACCTACTGCATCAGGTTGACTAAAAGACACCAAGCATTTTTCAAAAGATGCCCTAAATCCTCTCCTCCTACTGAATTTCAGTTATCTGGGGCTGAGGGATGTAGGACTCACTCCCATAAGACTGAGCATACAGTAATGGAGAAAGATGCTTGAACTGCATACAGTATGGGGTGCAACTTGTGTTGTCCACAGCCTGCATTCACTCTCTGTCAATTATACTGGTAATAAACTGAGATGATACTTGAAATACAGAGCCCTTGTTTCTAGGTGTTTGTTGTCAGATGAAAAGCTGTACAAATGTGGCTGAGATTAAGGGAACTGGATAAACAAACCAGGAAAACCTACATTCCCTCCACTTCCCTCCACTTTCAAAGCAAAGTGTGGAGTCAGCATTGATGATGGACTCATTCAGATCTTGGCTGAGCTGAGGGAGCTGTTGAGAGTTGTCAAGAAACAGCAGCATGTTTCCCTTTCATGCTATGTTCTCCAGCCAGCAAACAGTGTAACCAGCCACAATGGTTCAAGCCCAAGGTGTTTGAACAAATAGCCACCTGAGAGATAACAGAAAAACCCTAAAGAAAGTTTCCTGTCCTCACATCTCCTCCCCAAGAGCTCTCCAGGCAGCATCCAGCACCCATCCCCTCCAGGATTTGTACCCCTGGATTCCAGAAGAGCTCTGCAAACACCACCAGGTCTGCAGCAGACAGTGTCAGGCCCATGTTTGCAGCAGTGAGGGACAGAATGGCCACAGCTTGTTTCTCTGAGAACTGGAACTTCTGGCACAAAGACTGCCGTTCAGCTGACGGTGTAGAGCCATCAATGCGGATGTAGTCGAAATGCTGAGAAAAAGCAGAGAAAGATCCTACTTAGCAGTCTTTTCTGCATTCATCTTCCACATTTTAGTGGATTCTATTTCCCTTCCGTACCAGAACCAGGAAAGTAAAAATTGCAACTATTGTCTTTTTCAAAGGTCTGTCAAATTTTAAGGCACTATAGCTCAACACATAACATATTTCTCCTCTGCTAACAATGCTTGGCTTGCTTCTGTGTCTATTGCTCCCCTATCAGCCCTGAGCAACAGGAAGAACATCAACCCAACTGGGAATTCAAGTACAGCAGAAAGGGAAATGGCTTAACAAAAAGATGAATGCTGTATGTATGCATGTGCTACAACAGCTACAACCTTGCCAACCTCCTTAAGTCTTCCTCTGCTTACAAAAGGAGATGAGATGAGATCCTGGTAGCATCAGGAGAGACATCCAAGTTTTTACTTGGATGATACAGGGCTATAACTTAAGGGTTCAGCCTCCTTGCTCTGCTGGAGAATGCTGCCACAAAGGCAAAGTCACCGCTGCCATTGTATTTTAAAGCTAAGAATATTAACTTAAGTTATCATTCACACTGCCCCAGCGTGACCAAGAACTCTGTAGGAATGCCCATAGAAATCTCTATGAATAATTAGTGCCAGCATTTTTGAAGTAAGAGAAATTATTGCCCAGGTACAAGGATTCTGTACCATAAGAGTACTATAGTACAAAGGAAGGCAGCCATGGTTGGGCTTGGATTGTTACCTTTTCCCTCTACGAGGAAAGCTTGGAGGAAAAAGCAGAAATGGCCACACAGGTTAATTCTACTCCAGAAATTTCCTAGGTCCAGGGCAGACGATGAAGGTCAGCAAAAAACAACAAAAGCCACTCAGCTAATTCAGAGTGCATCTCATGATGTTCTGCTCAGCTCCCTTGGAAAAGGGCATGCTCAGACACACAGCAAGTACAAATGATCTCTGTCCATATCTTTCATAAAATAGATGACTAGCCTTAACTCTGGGGAGCTCTTAAATGGCTTTGAAGCTGCAACAGTGATAAAGTTGGGAAAATTCAGGCATTACTTACTTTATTCTCCAGCTCTTCAACTATTGCATCCAGCATTACTTTATGATGAGCAAACACCAGGAATTTATCTTTCCCACTTTCTAGTAACTCCAAGATGTATTCTCTATATTAAAGAGGAGGAAAAAAAAGCAAAACAAAAAAACACATGTTCTGAATTATCTGCTGACAGAATACAGGCACTGCTCAAAACAAATTTCAAATCAACTTTTTACCCAACAGAAACTAGAAACTAAGTTAGCATAAATTGTTGCTGCAAAATGCAAATAAGACAAGTCTCCTACAGATTGAAGAAAAAAATCCATTCATTTTCTTCACATCAGCTGGACAGCTGCCCACATCTATGCTTGTTTATCATTGAGAATCAATTTAACATATCCTACTTGACTTATGGCATCCCAGACCAATCAAGTGGAAAGTACGTATGCTTTTTGACAATTTGTCTTTCTGTATTTCTGACTTGTGCTCAATCACAGATGATCAAAATTCCCTATCTTCTACAGAATAAACCGTTGTTCTAGACAAAGAATGTCAAGTTCTTTGCTGAACACAACACAGCTTAGATCAGCAGCAACTGGCAGAAAACACCAAACAAGATTTCCATCAATGTATTAAGATGGATCAACATTTTTCAGACAGCTCACTGAATTCCATGATGTTCAGATCCCAATTACATGATAATATCATTAAAGAAAGAAATCTGGACTTGCTTAATTATATCAAAGTGAATCCCCATTTATCCAGTTACATAATGGCTGTTTTTTCAATGACTGCAGAGCAGCCATGGACAACACTGTCATCAGGGGTAAGACACAGAAGGTGCTAGTGATCATTAGATAGATGGAACTGTACATTAGCATCTTACATGAAGTAATACTTTAAATGCTACTAAATATCAGAAAAGGAAGTGGACAAGCTGCTATACCTCTTAGTATTTGCAGTCAGGTAAACAGCACAACATGGTTTATTCAGTTCAAATTTGCAACTGAATATAAAAGGAAGAAACTGTTCAGTAACACAAAAGAAGAAAACCACTCTACAAGAGTTGGGATTCTGAAGTGCAATTCTGTGCCAAACAGGCAGCAAGGTCTGAGACTGTGGAATCACACAGTGCACTTCAGCTGGTCATTACATTCAAAGGGTTGAGGAAAAAGTTTTCATGTTACCAGCACACTAATTAAAAAGTCTAAATGAACTACAGCAAGTTCTGCACAGTCCCAGAAGAAAGAATAAGGATGAAAAGGCTTTACAAGGCACTGAAGGACATCTAGAAGGTCATCTGTGAGAGAAAACACTTGCTACTGAGGTCCAACATGAGCTCTGTGGAAGAGCAAAGAACTTCAGTAGGGGCTGCGACACCCTTGGAGAATGGTACAACTAAAGCTCTGTCCATCTCATAAGCTTTCTGACTCAGGGCTCCTGCTGCAGTACTACTGCAGTATTTGACTTCTCAAATTCTGTGGATACTTTTAGTTTCATTGCTCCACCTCCCCATAAACTGAAACAGGGTCTGGAGCAGAGAATCTAATCCAAGTCCCAAACATCAAATAATTTTCAGTGGTTCAAATGACACTGTTTAGATCCATATCTGGAATGAAATCAGAAAACTTGTTAATCCTAGGAACGCCAAGAGAAGGAAACCTTTAGTGCATTGTCATTAAAATCAATTTTTTTAAGCTAGCTTGAGGCTATTCTTCATGTCCCTACATTGTTATCTCTAAGGCACCATTTTCCTGTTCTCAGCAGAAAGACACATTTTACTAGGCAAGAACGAAGCAGTGACATGCAGCTTACATGACTGAGTGGATTTTAGCTTCTGCTGTTCTGTTGTAGAAAAGGAGAAGAGCTTCCTTCTCCTGTTGTTTCTGCAGAGAGAAAGAAAAACAAATGTGAGTCCCAGTAATGCCTTCTCTCCCTTCTTGCTTACAGATCTAGGTTGGCTGCTGTAGTTTGTATACACTTCACTAAAAAAAGTGAACCTAATAATATAAAACAAAAGGAGATTTGATGGGGAAGTCTACTCACCACTGGGCACAGCACATAGCCAAACTTATTCCTCTGACACCTCCCTACCTACCTCCTACTCAATTCCTACAAGTTGCATGACAAGCGTATCACAAATGCAGTTTTAGCTGATAAAGCACTTCCCAACTAAAATGACAAAGAACAACTCCCAGGTTATTACAGAACTGTGTTAGAAACTTATTTGCTAGCCAAAGTAGAAAAAAAAACCTCCAAAAACAGTCTTCACTTTTTTGGCTACTTCTGTGTTCTACAACTCATCTTCAGTAAGGCTGTGTTTATAGTCTGAATGGGATTACATGGCAAGACAGAAGAGTAGACAGATGCAAAAGAGGCACAAACGATAATTAGAAAGGACTAACAAAAAGAAAGAGAGAAATAATATTTGACACAGAAAGGATAAAGTATACCACTTTAAAGGGAAAAAAAAATTTGTTTTGTGGTGTACGTTACTTTCCAACTGTGCCTTCAGCAGCCTTCCACTGTGCCTCTTCACACGGGGTGCAGCTCTAACTTTCATTGGAACACAGGACAGATTTTTCACTGATTTTTAATTCAATTTAACCAAAGAAGAGTTCTAATCTGAAAAATAAAGGCACCTGAAATACCAGTGGCTCATCACAAAAATCAGTTCTGACTTACACTTTCATATCCTTTGGCCATTTTCTTAGCTTCAGCTGCCAACATAGCTTTGGTCTTTGCATTAATGCCTTCAGGAGCTACCACAACCATTTTGCGTTGCTTTGCTGGAAGCTGGGATAGCACATCTGATTTAAGACGTCGGATCATGATGGACTCTTCCAGCAAAATTTTCAGTTCAGCTAAGTTGGATGATCCAGAGTAGTCCCAACCCCACGGCGTCTGGGAAAGATCAAAGCAGTTATCAGGGTCACACTTACAAAAGACTGATGCTTCTGTTCTACAGGTGATCCAGCAGTGGAATAAGCTTTATCCAGTTTCCCTGGAGCTAAGAATTTAATGATTACTAGGAAAAGAGATGTGGGAAATATGGTGGTAAACTAATCCAAGAGAAGGTTACTCATCAACTTCCCTTTCTCCTATCTACGAGTATTCAGGAAGGTACAGGGAAATAGGATTATGGAAAAAGATAGGGATCCCTCTCACGTGCCTTGGTATTTACCCTCACACTACTGGGTGTTTCTACTCTTGTTGCTTGGGGCAGGCCTACAAAACTCAGTGCAGTTCTGTATTTATGAATTTACCTCAGCTCTTAGCAGAGAGAAAGACAAACATCTCCAGCAGCATGATCACAAGCATCCTTAACCAAATGCCTTCACAGACACATTAAACTTGTGTGACATACCTAGTAAATGGTAAGTAAAAACTGCCTGCTTTCCACCATGACCTGTCTCTTGGCTCTGCCATTATAGCTTCTGGCTCAGACTTGAGCAAATCATAAATAAATTTTGGCCCAAAATACATCACTCAAAGTATTGTCTTTTCAAAGCATTATCACTTCAAAGCTCTTCTAAAGAAATCCTTCATTTAATCCACTTTTAAGCACTAGCCTCTGAACCTGCCCTATCCTCCAGAACCCTACACACAGACATCATCTATCTGTTCAATTCATCTCAGCTCATAATTTCTCCTACCAGTAACCTCACAATCACTCATTTTTCTCTGGGGATGCCAAGATGCCAACCATTACACTTTCCAAATGAAGCATCTTTCAACAACTTGTATTCAGACAGGAGACCAATAACGTTCTTAGAATGGCGTAAAGGATAAAGAGATTTTTTTTTGTTTCTTTGCTGAAGTTTCACAAATATATATATGAATTAAAGCTACAGTAATCTGGAAAACAAACGCTGGCAAAGAGGACCTTCCTCAGCTCCAATTTCAAGTCTCGCTGACAGTGTCACCAAATTCCACCCCAAATATAAACTCTGATCCTCCAACAATTCAAAGCAACCCTTATGCATATATATATATATCCTGAATTCTCTGTAACAGATAACAGATGTGAGGTACCTCAGCACCAACCCTTTAATCTGCTGCCTCTATTCTCATTGTATCACCTTAACTGCTAAAATAGATTTAACGTGAAAAAAAATCCATATTCCCTTTATTTGCCTTCCCCAAGAGAAATCTGCTGCAAAGCGGTATTTGAAATAAAATAGGAAAAAGCTCTGCAGCACTCACTGCACCCTCTATCTTCTTGTAGAACGGAGGAGACAAAAGTAACAGAATTAGACATGAGGTTAACCACATCACTTACTGTATTAACAAATGGTGCTTTGATGGAAGAGGGACAAGAACAGGTTATGAGACAGAAAGGGGAGGAATCAAACAGGTCACAGGCAATTAAGACCTCTTTCACATATTAAAGCAAGTATTCTTATTTGAGGTTGGGACATCACAGGACAATCTGTAATTCTATTGCCATACTGCAGTGATGAGAACCATTAACTAACTACAGATTCTGGCACCTGTAGCCACCATTGAAACTCATTTGACTTAATGTATTCCTATGTAATTATGGTACTTTCTGATTATCTGTAGTAGGTTCATTAAAGCTGGAAATAATTCAAACCATACATACAGAACCAGACTAAGTCCTGTAAAGATTTTTGGCTCTTAAAACAGCCCAGTGGTATATAGCCAGAGGTAATAAACCCACTTGGATCTAAGCCAAGCCTCCAAATGCCACCATGGGTATTACTGCTCTGCTTCCCTGAAACCAGGGATGCAATGCAAGTCCCTTGGGACCCTGGAAAGCTGGCTCAAGTCCAGCTAGGTTCATTAGCTTTAGACATGCTGCAATACAGCTAACAACGCTCAGCCCCAAGTCTCTGTGCCCTCCTTCTGCACTGCTTAAGGATTCTGACTCAGCGGAATAGATGTGCAGAGCCAAGAAGGACCTCGTGCTGCATCCAGCTTGGTCACACTGCTCAGTGCTCTGACAGGGAATGAACAGGGATCAATACTGAGTGAGCAGCTGAACAAGACCTTCTACACAGCCTGGACGCTCTACACAGGCTGCCACATTCTATTTACACAGCACACCTTTCACTTTTGGAATCATGGACAAGTGATATATATGTTTTAAATTCACATAGTACAATTCATTTCAGAAGACTAACATCATCATGACTGGAAGAACAAGGTAGAAACAGAGCCAGTACAATATCTACTGTCATGTTAAGAAGTATATACTGGCAGAATGGAATTTTCAGATAACTGTCTTTCATTTATGGCAATTGTGTTGCTGGAACAACCTGCAAACAAAAAAGCATACTAGTTTTGTGTTGTACCTAGTTCATGATAGATAATTATTCTTGGAATTATTAAAATAAGTTTTATTGTATATTACTATGAAAAAGAGAGGGGAAAAAAAGAGGGATATTTATTTTGCCAAGATACACATCTGGCTTTGATCCATAGCGTTCCAGAACAAATGCATCTGTGATTTTCTTAAAGTGTTACAGCATTTTACATGAGTCAGTAAACTTAATACACTGTTAGCAGAAGCTGCCAAACTCTCACAAATTCAGAGCATGTGCTCAGATAGAAATTATTTAATATTTGCCAACATCACCGAGTTGGAAAAATGAATTTGCAGCACGTATTACGGGAAACAGACCTGTGCTGTTTTGTAAATATACAGGTGACATTTCACTTGCTACATTTCTGAGAGTATTGATGCTGGGAGGCTGAATTACAAGATGACAAACTTTCATATCTCTTCTAATCACATCTGCCAGGTACCTGCAATTTTCTGTTAAGTAATCTATTCTCTTCAAATGGAAAGTTGTCAGGTTTTAGTTTAAAATTGAACGGTACACAGGTTTGTCAGTTTTTCCTTAATCAGATTTATTACTAACACCAAAACATTTTTACACAGCACCTTTCATTCTGACAGATCTCCAACAGCTTTGCAAAACCTCTCTGGTTCTGTGCGATTCCATTCCATCCCCCCTTATAGTGCAGCCACTTTCAGGACAAAAAAGCAGCACCTATTTGAATAATGACTGCAAAAGTACCACAACAGTTGTTTGGAGAGGTTGCAACTCAACACAATCTTATGTTAGAGCTGCAAAAATAAATGTGAGGGACACACTACAATCACCAAAGCACCTTTCAGTTTACTCATAGCTGAGAGGATCTAAGGCAACTCAATATGCAGTAGTCCTATTTTTAACTTGGCTACTATCCACATCCCTTCATTTTCAGCAGCCCCACTTGTGCTCTAAATAAGCGAATTCTTCCTAGGTTCACTCTATAATTTATTGACACTGACTGTAGCAAAACATCCCAGGAGAGCACCAGTAATGTTCAACTGTCTGGTAGAGATGGGTCAAACGGAAATGAAATTGTACTACAAACCCTACAGAGGCTTTGAAGAGCAACTGATACAGACTGTGACCCACACATCGAGTTTCACTGTGGGCTGAAAACTCATTTATACAGAATACATTGCTGCAACCTGAACTGTGCAGAACAATTTTATTTCTTTTATCCAATTACACATCTTACCTGAGGTCCATATGCCTTGTAATTGAAGTAACAGCAAGTCATGCAGAACTTTACCCTCAAAGGGTTTATGAAACTCCAGACTTATTTAGACTCACAATCCAACTTTCCTTTTTACTGCAGAAAGCCAATAAGATTAAACTGCATCTCTTCATTTCCCTCTAGAAAGCATGCTGGACATTGTTCAGACAGGAATCTCTCAGCAAAGATAATGTAACTCAGCAGAATAGCTGCCCTCTCCCTCCCTCTGCGCTCTTCATCCATACAACTCCTACAATGGATGAAGAAATAAGAAGTTTCCATCATCTGCCAGGAAAGCAGTGCTTTGCTAACATTAATGCTGTTATCTTCTAGAACTCATGTCTGTGTCTGTGATTCTGCACATTAAATGGTCTTACTTTAATCAATGATATCAGTATAATCAGTACCAAAGCCAATGAACTGCACATCTATCTTGTACATCTGGACAAACGTAGAACAGCACTAAGCTAGCTACAAAAGCTGAAGTGGACATTCAGATCTAAGGAAAATGGACTTGTCAGCTTCTGATGGGACTGCATCTTCCTGATGCAAACTTAGCATACATTAGCTACACCAAAAAGAAAAAAATAAAATAAAGAAAATCAGTAAGCACAGCATCAGTGCCCTACAAATACATAAAACTGTTTTTATGGCATGCACTGATGATTTTCATTCTTCTGTAAATATTTTTGAGTGTATACATGGTTATTTGGCATTCCCAACCACTCTGCTGACATTGTTATTGCCCAGTCTTAGACAAGATGAGGCACAAGAATGTCTTACATGAGTTAAAGCAGAGAGAGCAATTTTATGCAGTATGTGTCCTTTCTCACACTGCCAAGCCACTATAACTGCTACATCCTTGTACTGGAGAAGCTGGAGAGCAAACCAGATTAGAAGGGTCTTGTTCCAAACAAGAACTCAGTCTATGCAACCAACACAAGAGATTCCAGAACCTTGCTGTTAACAGGCAGAAGCAAGAGCTCAGCTTATAGCAGTGTGTGTTCCAACACACACCACAGCCTAAGAGATTACAAAGCCAGCTGAGTTTCTTGTACATCAAGATCAAGTCAGAGTCCCACCATCATAGCTGCAAGAACTAACTTGCTGCAAAGCCAAATTCTTGCAGTAGTTGTACTCAGTAACTCTGCTAAAACCACTGAGAGTAGCAGTGAGGGATAAGTTACTTTTTCTTCAGGGTATGTTGGGGAAAACATCAATTTCATAAGTTGGCAGAGAATAGAATAAATAGATGGACTGCAATTCTTTTTTCTTTTTTTCTTTTTTTTTTTTTTTTTTAAACTTCATTTTACTTGGAGGCATTACATTGTTAAAATGTATGTTAAGTGTAAGATGTTAAAAAGAAGCCTTACACTGTTGAAATGGTCACTAAAGCAGACAATAAGTTGTTTTTTAATCAATTAGCTCAATCCTGCAGCTACTTAAAATGACCACACTGTATCCACTTAAAACTCTTAGCAAGTTCTTGTCAGAACAATCTCTTAACCCACAAGCTAAGGCCACTTCGGCTTTTAGCTTTTTATTTCCATGCTCTTCCAGGGCAGAACTTGACAAGAAGCCTCTTGTCTCTTGCCTCACTGCCCCTTTATCTCAGGGCTACTTTCAATTTGCAGTACCTACAGCTTCTAAGGTTGAGAGCTTTCAAAATACCACTGCAGAGCAAGACCTTCTCAAAAAGTAATATCAGAAAGTGAAAAACAGCAAGAAAGAAACACTCCAATTGAAACAAAACAAACAAAAAAAACAAATAAAATAAAATGCTGTTTGGAGAGTCCAACTTCATCATCTCCCCACCATCCCTATGAAGTACCTTCTTTGCATCACAGTAGCGGAGCCCAAAGGTGTGGAACTGTGGAAAGAAACCCGGCTGGACAGCTGCAATCTGTGTGTAGAGCTCTGCAGGCCGCGACATGGCAGGGGTTCCTGAAAGTAAGATCACTCTCCTCGCAGCCTAGAAAAGCGAAATGGGACATCCCTTATCATACAGCTGACAACACAGATGACACGTGCACTGAGGTCATCCCTGGCCCCAGTATTAAGCCTCAGGGCCGCTGTCCTATCATCATACATAGAGAAATGTCTCACTTTCCAAAGATGCTTTTGGCCCTTACTTTCAGAAGGCTCCCAAGGACAGTGCTTAAAACTTCTAGGAGGCAGGACAAACTGTATAATTTCTTATTCATCATGCGCATGCTGGAAGAGGACATCAATTTCTATGACAGTTCTTTCTGAATTGGCATTTACGCGCAAGACGCGTTAATACCTTATGTCTGGCTCAACATTTCATCTGGCATTAGGATGTCACAGGAGCATGACACACACTCCTCTCAGGTACACCTCACCTCCAAAATAAATTCTCTTGTAATAAATCTGCCACAACAAGCCACAAACAAACTGTCTTGCTCACAAAAGCAGAAGAGATCTAGAGAAGTAGACTTTTTCCATGTTTTTAGGCCATTTTCTTTTTAACTCAACTAGGAAGGAGAGAAAGATGATGCTGCCTGAAAAAGGCTGCCCACCTAGCAGTCATTCTGTGTTTAAGCACAGCTTGCTGGATGCATGAAGTAATCAATAAGAAATCACTTAAAAAAAAGAAACAAACAAAACAAAAAAAAACCTGCTTATTATTGGATACAGGAGTGAGGGGTAGACAAACAAAAAGAACCCACACAGTAATCTGAAGTAGGTGCTCACAAAAAGTGAGGAAAAAAATAATTATACTGTAGACATAAAAGCCTCCAAAATGCATTTCTACCCTCTTATATTCAGCGTTATCCAATTCTATTATTAGATAAGAGCAATGAATTTCTACTGCTGTAAATTCACGTATAGTAGTTAAATTACAAATGCCTTCTAATTTCCTGCATAGTTTAAAGCAGGTTCATTAAAATAACAAAAAGATTCTTGAGTGACATCTGTACCAGCAGCTCATTCATATTTAAATGAAAAAGAAAATGAAATTCTTTTATCATTTCACTGAGATCTACCAGTCATCCAAATCTATTCAAGATGATTCATCAACTCACCAACCAAATATGATGGGGAAAAAAAAAGTTCACAGATCAGCTAACGGAAATTAATTTCAGGACTTTATCAGATATTTATATACAGGTTGTAACCAAGGTGGAACTTGCCTTCCCCCTCTGTTGAACAGATCAGAAGGAAATGTGACGACCAATAGGATCGCACAATTATCACATATCTTAAAAAAAAAAAAAAAAGCAGGACATTTATCACACTGAGTAAGAAGAGGTATCTAACCTTTTGACATATCAGAAAGGTGTAAGTTCTCACAAGACAGAGATCCCTACACTACTCACAAGAGGGAAGGGTGACAGCCAGGGCTGGGAAAAAAGACAACATGGAGGTCGCACGACTACATGCTTGCACAGAGAGCATATCAAGGTCAAGATGAATGGGAGGGAACAGCACAGCTGGGACATTTCCAAGCAATGCGTATACAGACCAGGAACATACTCAATGCAACATAAAACCATCTGTGTTGAAAGTTATATCACTCTCCAGGCTTTTCCTCCATGGACGGTGCTCCTCAGGAGCTGCACAAGACAAGGCTATGCTAATTCCCTGGTAGTTACAACACTTGGTTGGTCTCCTTGCTCCTTCTCTAATCTCAGAATTAGTATCAAAAAGGGGTAGTAAGGTAGTATTCAGTAGCTACAGGTCACGTGAATTCTAACCATGCCCCAGCTGTTGCTTCTTTGTTTGCATCTCATTTTTGAACAGAAATCTAATCACTGCAAGCACTTACCAAGGGTTGTGATACATCTACAATTAACCATTTTAAAAATCAGGAGAACTAAAAAAACAACTTAAAGAAAACAAACAACCCATATTACTTAAGCAACAGCTGTGAAGAACTTGAAGAAGTTAATTTCAGAAAATGGTGTAGAACACAGGTGGTCTGACTCATTATCCAAGAATCCCTTTCAGTATTAAGAACCGTAATAGAAGGAGCCCAAGGGAAAGGGGAAAAAAAATCCTAGGCAGACAAGGTTTCAAGTGTTGAAGACTTAAATTCTGGGTGACAGAAATGTCTTTGATTCACAGATCTTTTACTAGTGGCAACTCATTTTGAATACATGCCAATAAGGATTTGCTCCTGCAAATCCTGCAGAGAAGTCTCTGCTGATCACTGCTTACTCTCATTTCTCAAGAAACCTTCTCTAATGCCAAAAAGTGAGAGTTTATCCTTTTTTGTCCAAGATATATAAGAACAATATGGAATAACAACACAGAAAATACGATCACAGTGACGAACATAGACTCTTCAGCAAAAAAAAACAAAACAGAACCGTTCATCAATTTCTATGCATCTCCTCATAGAACAAATAACTTCAGCCACTAGTTATCATGCAGGCATGAAGAATAATCTTGACCAGAAGTACTTCCTCCTCCCTCCCTCTCTCTCTCATCTGTCCTTGAGACAATTCTTACAGCTACTTTCCTATGAAATTGCTTCAAGCAAATCTGATGATGGCTTGACCAGTCTGTAGACCTGAGTAACATAAAACAATTGTGGCACTGCGGCACACGCAAGACACCAGCAAGAATAATTTCCGCAGCTGCGATAACACTTACAAAAATTACTTTTGAAAGTTGAATAATTTATTAAGCCTGATGGCACTTCAGAGTTTCAAACTCAGCACCCAACTGACTGGATGGGGGAGTCGTTAGGGGGTGGTGTGGAGTGTTATGCCACAAAGCTCAACACACAAAGAGCCTCATTAACATACAATGACTGCCTCTATTGTAAATGAATTTCACAGCATGAGCTCTGCCATATGCTAACAGACTTACACTTAAAAAAAAAAAAAAAAGTTTGGCTGATTCTGGCTATGTAATTACTTGTGTCCCCAGTTTTTGCTTACTTTGTCGTTTTGAACTGCTTAGCTAAGAACGCATTATCCTGTGAAATTAGAAATCTGAGAGCGGCCATAATGTAATGGGGATAGTAAATGTAGTAGAATAGAAATTTGATAAAGGGAAAATGTTGCAGCTGTTTTGGGGAGTCTATTTCTGTACTTGGGTCAGTGTGCTGCATTTTGTAAGATGATGTGGTCATACCAAAAAATATAAATGCTTTTCTCTACTATTAAATGACATCCAGACAGAGAACTTCTCCCACATGGTGACAAACAGCTCCCACTGAACCAAATTACCTCCCCACCTGGAGAATCAGCTTCTCTGATTTCAATATAACATTCTTCCTCACAGCAGGTGACAAGGAAAGGTTTCTTTATCCAATCCATATAGATTTGTAATGCCTAAAGATAGCAGCTATTTATTTCCTACAGAGAGATTTTTCTGTTCCCTCCTTACCTTCTACCTTCAACATTGGCCTAATTCCCTTTATTATTTTTACGCACCACTTTATTGAAAGAAGCACGCAGAGTATCAGATTCCAGCTACCCAATGTATTTGGACATAAGTAACTAAAACAAAGAACTTTAACCTTGTACATATCAGGATGTGCATTATGTTATTAACCCGCGTAGCAGCTCAGTAAGAAAAATTTCATGAGTAATATTACCCAAATGTTGTGGAAAGGAGCCCATAGAGAAAACAACAAAAATAAGCCCATTTTATGCCACCAGAATATTTGATTAAATACTACTATGCATTTCTCAGTTTCTAACTCAGTTCTTCACTGAAAACTTACTTCATGCCTCCAGAAACACTCATCCATATTCCACTGGGACCTTTCTCAGTTTCCATTGCTTCGCAATCACAGAACAAAGACAATATAGCTTTTCAGCTAGCTGAAGGATGTAGAATCCTTTTCACCCAAGTCCCCAAGAGATCCCTCTACAGATCACTGAAAGACTTCCATTTCATTGTTTCTTCTTCCTCCACTTCCCTTGGGGCTTTGTTGTTTTACATCTATTGGTAGCACGCCTCCTCAATACTCATGTTCCTGGGCCAGTCTAACCTTGGAAGCAGAAATCTAAAATAAGAAGAGGTAACACCTTGGGAGGCAGATGCAGGACAGAGGTAAAGGGAACAAAGGGTATCAACAATACACCCAGGACAGCAACTCAGTCCCAAGCAGAAAACTAAAGAGAACAGCAAGGTGACAAATTCCTATAACTGTCTGCTGCAGCCACCTAGGACAAACAGGCTGGGACAGTAAGGGACTGGGACAAATAAAGCCTGAAAACAGTGACTCAACCAAAGCCCAACAGTATGAGGCTATGTCACTTTGATATACATGGAAACAGGACAAAAGTGCCACTCTGAACACAGGAACTTCCAGCCCTCAAGTGCTACAAGACACACTGAAGCAGGGGACATACCTCACACGGTTACTTGCACAGACTGACCAGCATGACAGTTAGCTAAGCTTGAAGGCAGCGTTTTTACCATGTGCTGAAGCATCAAAGTACAGTTTTGCACTATGGCTTTCAATCCATTTGCCTCCATAATTGTGCAGGGTCACATGCTGTGTACAGACTTGGCCACCTGAGTCCTTGTGGGCAGGTGAATCATTCTCCCCCACATACAAGTCTGCACACCCAAAAGTAAGCACATCCACAAGGAAGGTGAAGGGGGTAAGAAATCCAGCCTACACACTTTACTGTCACTATTTCAGCTCATTCTATCATATTGTAAAGGCAAGTTCTTCTCTCAAAGTTTTGCCCAATAAAAATAAACTGGGCACATTGTGTCTTTATCTTTGTTCCTATGCATTTGTTAAGGTACTTCAGAAGGTAGTAAGCATAATTACTGCATACATCTAGAGAATATAAAAGCACACTAAGAAGTCCTTCTGGTCACACTTGCCATTGTCCTCAAGCAAAACATTACCTCTGTCAGGGTGAGCAACTAAGTATGTCATAAAAGACACTAAGTACTACACACTAAAAAACAAACAAACAAACACTGGTGCTTTGTTTTTAAAATATTTTTAAAATGTTAATAAGTCCCCAACCAACAGATTTAGGCCGCATGTTTATTACATGGCTCTGCTTGACAATTCTATACCACACTTGCTCTCCAATACATCCAATCCAATACAGACAAGAGAGGAGGGAAAGACAAATTGCAACTGGGTAGTTAAAAATACCTTTTTGAAAAACAATCAGGGTCAGATATTAAAACTAAAACAAGACTTTAAATGCTGTAATCGTAGGTAAATATTTCAGATGCTAGAGATTCAGCTGGCTGTCTAACAAGGCAGATTCAAAATTAACATCCAAGCTAAGTCATCTTTATTATGAATGTGCTGATGTATAATCTGGTTACTGTGCAGTTCTGTCTAAGCCTCCACAACAATTTTTGTATTTTACTTATCATTCAAACAGAGGAGTCACAGAAGCAGATTCTACCGAGATAAAAAGAATCCATTAGGCACCAACAGAATGGACAGAAACATTTCAGGCTAAGAAATATTTTAATTTACATCTGTCTGGTGTCACTATGGACTCAGTTCTTTGTAGCAAGTAAGGACCAACAGTAACATTTCTTGTGGGTTTTTTTACTCCTTTTCTTTTCTGTCCCCAAAGCTCAGTTCAAGGCTAAGCCGTCATGCTTAAAGGTACTGGGAATCTCATAGGAAATATAAACAACTACAGCAATTTAAGGAAGTTGAAAGCAGCTTAATGCCAAACACAAGAGCTGCCTAAAAAGTACTCTAGGCACGACTTGGCTCCACAGGCTCTGGCTACAGCACTGACAAGGCTTTGCACTGTGACTTTAAGGTAGGGACTTTCGTGCCACAAGCACTGCACCTATCAAGAGCTTGCCTATGGAAAGAGCTTTTTCTGGTTTCTTCCAAAAGACTCATTACTGCTCTAATCCTTTTAAATGCAAGGGAAGCAAAAGCAAGAACATTATCTTCAGCACTCAAATCTCTAGCAACAATAAACAGCAACTCTATCCATTCATCTTATGCAATAATCTAAAATACTAAATTCAGTAAAATACTAAAAAATACTCCAATTTTTACCCCATTTACTATTTACTACACAGGTGACAATGTAATTTTTACATACAGTGTTCAGGTGATGAAATCGCCTCATATCTTGGTTGGTCTTTCAAATAAAAATTTGCCACAATGTGCTATGCCAGTAGTGGGCAGTTGAGGACAAAGCTGCCAAAGGGAGTAGATTTAGAGCAAAATACAAGTTGGAAAGCAAGGAGGGCAAATGAGTGGCTAGTACAGACAACACTTACTGCAAAAATTACAGTCAGGAAAATACAGTTTAAGTGAACATATAGCAGAAAATGTTCTCTAAAGGTTCTGGTCCTGTCTTACTGCATGCTTCTTACACATGATGCAAATATGAAACTCTTGACTGAAAATTCAGTTTGAAAAGCACAAGATCTCAGTGCTTTAAAGACCAGTGATGTGACAGCATAAAACTATAAATTCGCACTAAGTTCATACAGGCAATTAACCTTTATATAACAGGTACCATCTTTCACATCTTATAGCCTGCAAATAATTCTGACAAGCTGATCCTTACAAAGCTACAAGTAGGAAAGGAGACCAATTTTTGAGCATCAAGAGGTAAAAGTTGTTATTTTCTGCCACTCGTGGCTGTACACCCCTTTGGGTCTACTTCAAAATGAATAAAATCACACATCCCGCTTAGTTTCCAAATACTCAAGGACTGTCACTAAAAATCACTAAAAGTGATTTGGAAAGCCAAGAGAAGAGAGAATTTAAGGAGAATGATGAAGTTACTAAGGACAACCATCTCTGCCCTGCCATTAAAGAGCTTGCATATAAAAGTTGACTGCTGTAAAGCCATCATGGATCAAACCTTCTCTTTATATACAAATACTGATAGCTATTGAGAAAAAACTGCATTTGCCTTGTTCTAATGAACAGACTTTGCAGTGTCTGGAAACTACTGCTACCTTTAATCTCTGAAAGGCTACTAGAGACAATTCAGCTCTTTGATCCCAGGAGAGGACCACAAGCAGATTTAAGAACTCACATTACTCCTGACATCAGCTCAATATTTCTTCCCTTCTGTGGGTCACTTGCCTTGCTCCACCTCTGGCTCCACCTCTCTTAGACCCACTTCAGAGCTGACTACCAGTGGGGAAGGATCTCTTCTGGAGTTTCATAGTGAGCCCAGGATACGAGTAAGCTTTCTATCTATTCTCTTTTGGTATAACAACTGCTTAGCCACACTCTCTGGTATATTTCATGATTACAACATCTGTACATTCATTGATTATACAGTACTGAAGTTCTTTTGTTGTATGGAAATTAGTGATTAAGTCAGAAATAAATTTTGCTCTTAAAGAAACAGTGACTTGGACTTCCACAAGCACAGAAGAATTCAGCTGCTGGCTCAGACAGTAACACTGCTTGGGGAGTCTGGCCTTAGCTGCAGGAGGTTTGGCATGCAGCATACGTACCTTAAGGAGAGCCATGGCAGCTCGGCATCTCGCAGTTTTTATGTTCTTTAGGTAATGAGATTCATCCTGAAACAAAACCAGCATGAAAATGAAGATAGCTCTGATCCACATTCCAACTGCAGGCTAAAGAACAAATTCTCAGTGCTCTCAGCTATCTAATATTACAAGCCTGCCATCCCAGAGGATATTCCAAGTACTGGGATAGTTGCATCAAAATCTCAACTAGAAGACAGCATGGGGAGTACCAGGCTTCTACCTTCAAACCCACAGTTGTAATTGAACGGAACGGAAATCAAACCTTAAGGCCATGAATCTCAAATGACTACAGGCTAGTAAAAAGAAGTGGACAGAGATAGGTGGAGAAAGAGGAACATTGATTCTACCACCGATGCTCGTTTGCCTCAAATTTCCACCTTGATGCCCCATTAAATGCAGCAAACACAGGAGGCCTATACATTGTTATTTCCCTAAACAAAGAGGTTAATGAAAACAATACAAAAAAAAAAAATCTAATTAGGATCCAACTGCTCTGCTGATAGGGCTCACCAGGTGGAAAATAGCCTCCTACTTGAGATGTCACCCCCAAACACCCTTCACTTCTTCTGCTGTAGCAAGGCAGATTTGGACACAAAAAATAATTGGCACCCTCCAAGGGTACATTCTCATCTTTCCACATGTGGATGAGCAAGCAACCATGTATGCTCAGTACACGCCCAGTACAACTGCTCAGTCTCTCGGGTACAGCCTTCTCCTTCCCAGTTAACAAATAACCCACACGAATAGCCCCAGTCAGTGAAAGCATGCTGAATGTAAAAGCAGAGAAGCTCAGCTTTCAGTAGGACTACATAAATCTGTAAAGACATACAGGGTCCAAATCTGAACATACAAAGACACAGAACATCTGCAGCTCAGGGGATTCCAATGCAGCAGCCCTAGAGCCCAACTCTCTTTACAGAAAGCAGCAGCCCAGACAAAGCAAGAACCCCTACTTCCACTCTGAATGCCTTGTACAGAAGGGGGCCAAGGGAAATAAAATTAATTTCCTCATGAGTAGTTTGGTCTCCAAAGACCTCATCTACTCCCATATTCCCACATGACACTGAAAAAAAAACAAAAAAAAGAGCTATTATGTTCCAAGTGTCATAATCATGGGACAGGTGGATCTGTTTCGCTGAAAACCATGCTGAGAATGTGAAACACTTGCAAGAAGGTATGTAGACACTTCTAGTCTTTACAGTCTTTAAAGCTGGATTTGAAACATAAGGAGTTTTGAATTTTTAAGAAGTGAAATCTAGAAAAATACCTTTTACCACAGCTCCCAAAAAGGTGAAAAAATAAGTTTCAAAACCATTTACAACAGTAGTGATACACGTGATCAGTGAAAGCTTAATGCACACTGTCAGTGGTACTCAAACACAGGAAGACTTCTTGATGCTTCACCCACATACTTGGTGCTGAGAAGTTATCTGGCTCGTTGGATAAACATTAAAACCAAACATCAAGTCCAATTACCATAAAATGACATAATTCCAAAGCTACTGTATTGACATACCACATACAACACCTTAGTCTCCTGTAAGGAACATACCCAATCACAGTGAAACCAGGGAGGCACCCTAACCAGTAAAAGAGAAAACACAGCCACAAGAACCAAAAAGGTTTCAGAGAACTCTGCTGTTTCTGCTCACAGAGCTGTAATCACAGTCACAATTCTAAGACAATTTCAGTCCTAAAAATGGCCTGCCTTACACTTCTCTGCTGTACAATCCTAAAGATACCCCATTTGCAGTATATAATCAACTTCAAAACTCTAGCATGCTACTTACAATAATAACTACTTGGAAAGTGCTCTTGAGTTGCTTGTCCATTTTGCTGAGGAGGTCAAAGCTGATGATGTTAATCAAACTTGCTGTTAGGCTGTCTTTGCCAGTCACTATAACATTAGTGCTTCCTGGTCTTAACGATGGAAGCCACCTGTGAAACGCCTGGAAGAGAAGAGAGTGATTAATTGCACGACTGTGCTCACATCCACTGCAAAGATCCCCAAACCCACCACAGTTTATAAAAGAGCATCCTCATGGATGCTTAGAACAAGGAACAATCCCACTCTCCATTAGGCACCAGGTGAGGGCATAGAAGGGGTGAGCAGCCTTCACAAGTCAGCACTGCTAGTAATAGGAAGATCAAAAACAGCACTCAGGATGTAAGGCCAAATCCACCTTCCACGATGGGAAGACTCAAAAATGATTTATTCTTGCTTCTTACTGAAAAAGAAATCTGATCTGCAGTAGAAATGTGTGTAACCTCCTGACAGTGTTACCTGCTGTATTTGTAGCCAGAGCCAATGAACGCTGTTGACAGGGAAATTCATCATTTTCCCACTCAAAAGGCTGTGAAATACAGCATTCTGAGCAGTAAACATCTCTCACTACAGCAATGTTTACTCCACAATGATGAAGTACAGCACATCCATACCAACAAAAACCTCCACTATTCCTCCTTCTTAAAAAGCCTACCAAAAATGAAAAAAAATACCACCGCCTCCCAGTCACAAAAAAGATGAAAATGACACCGCACTAGCTTCAATATGACAGCAGATGAACATGTGGGAAGTCATTCAAATCAGCCTCTTGAAATGCTCCACACACCACAGGAGATTTGGACCCTGTATGTCTTTACATAACCTCCTGCAAACACATCTGTTAAGTACTGAGCACCCACCATTTCCCTTGTAAATCTATTCCCAACACCACCAAACCCTCTACAACATCTAAGTCCTGCTGACATTGCCCTCTAGAGGAGAGCTGACATTGCTCTAGCAATCACAACCTGGTCTCTACAGGAATGTATTCAAAGACTGGTGATGGTAAATGGCATCTCTGACTCAAGCACCTTCACCTGTGGCAGTCCCCCAAGCCCCATTCTTCTGATTATCCAGGGAAGTGGTAGAGTCACTTTCCTTGGATCAAGAGAAAAGAGTGGATGTTGCACTTAGGAACATGGTTTAGTGGGCACTGTGGTTGGACTAGATAATCTTACTGGTCTTTTCCAATCTTAGTGATTCCATGAATTACATGCAGCAGGTAGATGATTCAAATGCTGACAGCACATGAGAAATTAACAATTGCCTATAGTCACCACTTACAAGCATCACAACCAAAGCAGGCCACTATGTGGGCAAGGTTGGATCAAAACCAAAAAACATGGGGCTGATGGGCATGGGGCAAAACTGACAAAGGCAGCAGTAGTAAAAAGAATCTAAAAGCTACCAGCTGAACTGCTTTCCCCTTTTGGAAAGGTCACATGCCTACTTCACAGAAAAGAGAATCTGTCTGAATATCTAAGTTTCAGCACAGAACTCCAAATGCACACCTGCAGCACTTCTCATCCCTTCTTGCTATTGCGCTTAAAATACATAAGCACTCAAAGGCATGAGCCTGGAAAACTGAAAACTAAACCCTGCACTTCTGAGATGAACACAATTTCTGGCTATTCATCTCCAGAAACAAGAACTTTATGTTAAATGTATCTGTACAGAATGAATTGAAGTTACAGACCATAACCTTCACCTTTTTGTACACCTTCTGCCAAACATTTTCCTTAGATTCACATCCTTCACTTACTGAAAGCAACACAGAAAATTTCAAAGCAAATCTCCTAACAAATACCTCCCACAACAGCCTCCCAGGGAATCTGGAGGGTGTAGATAGAGGAAATGAAGCACCCAAGTAGAAAATTCTGATATTGCTTAAATCTCTTAGAGCAGAATAGAGGAGTTTGGCTGTAGATACCCAGGACTTCAGCAACTTGGGCCCCAGATTCCTCCTAGTAGGTCTCAAACAGGAGTCATGGATACAGGATAGGTACTGAACCACAGGTCCATAGGCCTTTGAAACAAGTCCTTTGCTTTCACATCTCAAACACAATGAGCATTGCTCCTTTGTTCAGAAATCTTTTTTCTTCTTGTCATTCAGTGTTTTGTTGCACTACTGAATATGAAACACAAGCCAAGATGTTCTTATAACCAGGTTACATTACAAAACAAAACAACCACATTTCCACCAATACATTTCTCACTTTTCCATCAATGTAGCATCCCAGGGAAAGCAACGTAAGGAAACCTTGTCTACTCAGACATGAAAATTACTGACCTGAAACATCTGACTCACATTTTTCTCCCACAGTGATTACCTCACTAGCCTATGGCAAATAAAAAGCCTCAGCTTACAAGTCATGACACTGATTTCTTTCAACCAGTTACATGTCCCAGCCATTCAAACTTTCTTGGGCTTCTGATTAACAGCAATAACAGACTCAAAGGAGTCATATCCTTGACAGACTGAATGACATGGTAAGACAAACATTTAATGACAATGATAACAGAACCTTGTGAAAAGAGGTGAGAATTTCAGCATCTGAACTTTTATTCCAGCAAGTCCAGCTATAAAGGGATTGAATGCAATCAACAATTGCTTCAATGCAACTATTGCCTTTGGCATTAATGAGCAAAACACCTCTTAAGAGCTAGCTGACTTGCAGGAACAAAGTTAAGAGGCTCAGAGGAGATATTTTCTCTAGATCTCCTTTCCAACAGCTGGACCACAAAAAGAAAATCAGTCAATAAAAGAAAGTAGGCATATAACATACAGTCAGTGCAAACGTCAAGCAATTTCTCTGCTCTTTAAAAAAGTACAAGTTTTACTTCCTTCACCTTAAAATACATATGTTTAAAAAAAAAATAAAATAACTTGTCCTGATCGTTAACACAGAATAACCATCACACATGCCCTCTACTGGCCATCCACATGATCATAAACTCACAGTACCTCTGCCCACGTGAACCTCACAGAAGAGGGAGTCACCACCAGCAAGGGCCATTCCTTTCGGTAGTAGGCAGCGATGCAGATTGCCTGAACAGTCTTGCCCAAGCCCATGTCATCCGCAAGAAGTAAACGGCCATTTCTTAAAACTGCAAAACTGGGGAAAATAGAGAGGGGAAATATGAGAGTCAAGAAGCGGTCCCGTTTCTTTCCTTTCTCAAGCCCTGCCTCTTTCCTGGTAGCCAGGATGAGTAAAACTCATCTGTCTACATCAGATGAGGAGGGTTCTGTAGAACTGAGAAGTGAAAAAATTAAATCCTTCTGCAGATCATGGATGACACCATACAGTGAGTATCAGCTGCAGTAGCTGCACAGTATCTGATGAACTACAGATGTCTTTGCAGATTAAGCCTACAAGGTGTATCTCATGAAGTGACCTGAGCTTTTTATTTCAGTAAACCTATATGTTCTCCATTAGTCTTAACACAATTGAGCAGCTCACAACAATCTTCTCTCAAAGCTTAAATGGTTCAGCCAAGTGACCCTGGATGGTTACTCAGAGACACTGATTTAATACATGGAGCAGACTCAAGATCTTAGAGTTATTTAAAGAGCACATTCCATACCATTATTCATGTTCTGTCTTAAGAGTTCATTCCTATTGGGCTAAGAAAATACTATTTATAGCATGATCACTTAAGTAGCAGTAACTATGGGCTTTCCTGGATTGCATCTCAAATTCAACAACTGAATGCTATATATGGCAGAAATAGGGCCACGTGAAAGTTTCCCTCTGCATACAATTAGCCATTTTATGCCTTTCATCGTCAGGTTTCCATTTCCTGGCACTTACTGTGTGCATTACTATTTTAATACAAACAAACAACAGAGATGCACTGGGTTAGGAAAAGATGACCATACAAAAGCATCATATGACAATCAGGCATATGTTGAATCATGGGATAGAGATGAGAAATTTAGCACGTGAACAATGCTATTTTTCCTCCTGACTAATGATGAAGAATTCTAGCTGGAAACAAATAAGTGTGTCATTCAAAACACAACACACAGGCACACAAAAATCAAACAAAACAAACCAGGCAAAACATCCAAGCGTCCACAATATCACAACACAAGACTATGGAGAAACATTAAGTTCTCCCCATGAAAGAGAATGAGGGCTGTACGCTGATCTATTGAACTGTAGGCAAGGATTAGATCTCAACAGCACGCAAAAAGGACCTACTTCACACCTTCCCTCTGAAAAGGCATGAGGCTTGTCACAATTTCAGAGTCCACTACTGAAAGGTCAGCATCAGGAAAATCCATCTTCTGTGATGTAGAATTCTGTATTTGAGCAGCAAAGGCTTGTATGACTGTCCCAGGAAGTGGCTCCACTTCTACAGACACAAGGTTCTGGAACACTTTCACTGCAAAGAACAGAGCAGTTAATTATCAGAAAGGGAAACATACACACATTAAGGACACCAGGGTAACATCCCTTGACCTCAACAACAATATCTCCTACCTTTAGGCAGCTCAAGAAAGTACTGCATCACACACTCGTGTCAGCCTGGCCTCTTCTCTGAAATCTATTTCAGCAGCAGATGATGAATCACATTCCCTCCCCTCATATTTAGACTTGATTATAAAAAACTGGAAGTCTGATGCCATCATTCAGAGATGATTGCTACTAATACAGCTGGAGCTGGATTATTCACATTGAGGGCAGCTTAGGGCACACTTTACTCAGAAATGAAAGTATGGATGGGAACAAAAGAGCTCTTGAAGTCTAGAAGGCAGAAGCATCTTGGGATTCTGCATTAAATATCTCTCAGGTCTCCACCAGCCGAGTGCATGGATCAGGAGTTACGTGAGACAATTACCTAAAGGTCATACATTCTCAGCTTTGAAAACTCACTTCTCCTCCTGTTACCTAAATTCACACCAGTTTGGTTCTTTCTGAAATGTAGATAATCTCCCATTCTCCCACACTTGGATAATTCACAGAATCAGAACTTACTCTTGTACTCAGAAAGCCATCCCTCAGGGGCATGACACCAACAGCAGCTCCTTACTCAGCTGGTGCACTCTGCCTTTTACCAAGACAGAAGTTCTGTAGTCCACAAGCTGCTACCTGAATCCCTCAGCACTACTGATGTTTGACTTAAGGCCTCTTTCTGCTTCTCTATCCCACCCAAAAAAAAACAAAACCAAAAAAATAAACCTCTTCTTAATCCAACAATAAGTTTATAAGAAAATAGCAGTTTAAAACATGATTGCAAGGTCCCTGCTCACAATGATTAGTAATCAGTCTCTGACCACTGATAGAAACAACAGGCACCTCTGCAGATGAACACAAACACTCATGCACAGATCCTTTATGGCAAGGAGAGTAGTTGGTTTGTATACAAAGTCAGAAAGATATGAAACAGCTGTTTGCAAAAATGACCAGAGCTGTGCACACTGAAATAAATACTCATGACACCAGCAGTAAATGCACCTCCAGAACTCAGCTGAAATTAGAATGCCCATCTCCAAGAGGTAAGCAGCAGAATGGATCTCTGTCATATGAAGGGGAAAAGCAATTCAAAGAAATATACATATGAAAAGATTTCCATTTGTGGTTGGGCTTTGGCCAAACTTTTTAAACTCTCCAGTTCAATTTGTACTTCAACAGCAAGAACTCTCTCCACTCGAAGTACAGCATAAGCTTGTTATTACACTCACAGACTGGGCTATGTGTTAGCATAATTGCTACAATTTGCTCACTGATAATTCTGTTACTGTTGTTCGTTACATGAGCTGGAAGAATGATTAAGATATATCAGCCACCAGCATGATTCATCCAACAGACACATTTTACTGAAATGACCTTTATATAAAGGTGACTGAGCAACTAGGAAAAGAGACATTAACCTCTACAAACAGTTCCAAACTAACAGATAGCACTGTTGGAAATGGCAACCAGCTTTTTATTTTTTTTTTTTTCTTCCCCTGACGTAGCTAAATTAACAGGCACAAACCTAATGCTGCTCCTCTGAAAGGCACGTGCTACAAGAAGCCTCAAATGCCCTCACTAATTACTCCTTGCAAGAACATCTAAAGAATTTTTTGTGGTTTGGTGTTGGTTCTTTTTTTTTTTTTTCAGTTTGATTTTGCTTTCCTTAAATCTGTGGGATTCTGAATTAATGTCATGTGTACAACTGCCAGCAAGCATAGTGACAGGCTGGGAGATGATGCATTTACTCAGATTGCTCTTACTACAGGATGGGCCCTTAGCAGATACAAAAGACCCTTTTAAAAAGCAGTGTGGGCTCATCAGCTCCCACTGAATCCAGAGCCTCTGAGCATCACCATCCTGGAGTTTCATAATAGTCACCACCAAGATACACTTGCTTCTTTCACAGCCTGCCATTGCTACAAGGCCCTATCACTGGAAGTAGAACAGCCTGGTAAGCTTTGCTCTGCACTCTCTTCTAAGTTAGAGGTGACTGTGCAATTTTATGAATTGATGCATGCAGAAAAAGGAGCAAAACTTCATGGGCAGGCTGGCACTGCAGATTATAGAAATACACCTAAAGACAGTCCGTAAGACTGTCTGTAAGGACACTTGGTAGCCACCATGCCTACCTGTTCAAAGCTTTCAAGACAGAAGATAGTAATCCATTTTCCTGCAGTTCCTTAGTTCAAGTATAGCTGCTGTACCTTATAAGCAGTAGCAATTTTATAATAGTTAATATAGGTCCTCAGAGAAATCACACAAATTCAGCATAGAACCTTACAAGAACAGGCCAGTGTGAGTAATACATATTTATACAGTTTTGAGTCTGGGTAAACAGTATAAGTGTCTGACAAAGCAGGAAGACACTTGCTTCATGGTTCATTAGCCACTCATTTCATCAAAATGAGAAGGCTCAGTCCAAGAAATGAAGCTACAATTCACTTACCGCCCCAGAAAACAGCCCTAGACAGAAAGGAAAAAAAAAAAAAAAGGGAAAAAAAAAAAGACAGCTACTCACTCAGTTTGGGATAGTCCTCCAGTAAGAAATTCCACTTTCTGGTCTTCATATCTGCAGCAGTTAAAAAAAAAAAATCAAAAAAACAAGAAAACACTACTATAACTTTCTTAAGCCTGAATTCTCTACACATAAGAATGTGGTTATATCCGTATATATTCATTTCAAAACAGATTTAACAGAATTCCTACCCTGTCCAGCCACCAATTTTCCTCCCTTTGTTTTCATGTTAAACAAACAGTTTGAAGAAAGAAGCATGGACACTCTGAAAAGTAACATGAAGTCCTGACTTGTCTGGCAATTCTACACCCAATTTGCATGTGCCTACAACCTCCAGGGAAGACAGAGAATCCAGAATCAGTAAGACAGAGTGAGCCAGGTAGAGCTCTGCCCAAAAAGCCAGAGCTGCAGCATTTGCTCTCCATGCTGTCACTGACCTGCTGTGACACTACACAAGCCACCTTACCACACTGCACCTCATTCCCACGTAACTGGTGGGAAAACTAGTGTGTACCTTTGAAATCTAAGTGCCAACAATAGAAGTGCTCTACAACTCCACTTGCCTCAAAAATTTTCAGTAAAGCTGCTAGTAAACACAGTCTGCTCAGACAGTTGCAGCCAGTTGACAATAAGAACAAGAACTTAAGTGTGGCCTCTGTACTGGCAAACTGCTGTCGCATCCCACCTTGAGAGTAAATATAATGCCAAGTGCTGAAATACCATCTTGACTAATAGGCTCTGAAGAGATTCTCTGGCACTGTGCAGGGCACAGATACAACTCTATACCAGAACTAAGCTCTCAAAATCTTTACCAAAGCACATCCTCTCACACTATTTCAAAGACTGATGCCCTCACACACTCTCTCTCCTCCATATCATTCACAGCACTTCAAAAGCAGTCCCAGTAACATTAAAATAGAGACTCACCATAATTTCTGGAATTCATCTGTTTGAACACTCCAACCACTTCTGCAGAATACCCAATATCAACCTCAAACCGAGAGCGAGAGATCAGCGCACACTTCCCTTTGACGTGGGCTGAGGGTTTCTTCCAGCTCTTGCACATGTTCAAGAGGGATACCATATCAACCCCACTGCTGCTGAAATGAGGGCCTGATGACAACTCTACTGCATTTTCTCCTTCCAGTGGTGCCAGAATCACAGAGGAAAGTTGACTTGCTGCTTCCACTAGAAAGAAAAACATGAAATACTAAGGAAAAACTGGAGAATGCTGGTAAGCTACTTTGGGAAAGGAAAGCACAAGAATATGTGAAGATGTCTGGCTTGCTTGTCATTTAAAGGGGACAAAGATTCCTTAATTTAACTTTGAGGGACAAGGAATAGAGAACAGTGGAATACAGCAGGGTCAGGGCGAACATGCAAGAGTACAGGAGTCAGGGCTCACTCAGAACTGCTATGGCGTTAGGCTCCTGCTGTCAACAACCCCAAAACATGGCTCACCTGGCCAGGCCAGGCCAGCCAACCTACAGAAACACATTCAGAAGCAAACTGCACACAGCCCTAGCATTTTCACATAAAATGATGCAGAGAGGCATGGTGATCAACAGTATGTGCCTGGAAAGATTGGAAGGTGTTTCTGCAAGTAGCAAAGGAGAAAGATCTAAAAATTTGTGCCTCTCTATTCACATGGACATCTGAGCAATCTCATCAAGGAGAAATACTCAGTAAGCATAATACTGTAGGAAGGAATCTCATACAAAACCATAGACCTCTCCTTTGTTACAAGACCATCACCCTTTATTCTAACACAGCTTGCAGTTAGGCTTGTACTTCTGCACAGCCAGGTGGGCTCCTTTCTTACAGTTTGCAGCAACCACCTGCGTCACGATGCTAGGGCATGGGGAGAGACAAGACATATTTTTGCCAGTTGAAGACCATGACTAACAACACTAGTGTGTGTTACGTTTTTCCCTTCTGCCTCTTTGTCAATCTATATCCACATGGCTGTCTTTATCATTACAGCTGAAGTTACAGTTTAAGGAGAAAAAAAAAACAAACCCTGACATGACACAATTTCCAAAAATCATTCTCTTTATTTGCAAGTTCCTTGGTGCAGAGACTCCACTCTCATCTGTACTCAGTACACTTCAAGCAAACCAGCAGCACTTAAATAATGAATGTGTGTGGCAACCCACATGGGAAGCTAGAATACCAGTACTCAACTGTGGGTTTTTCAAAGTGCTCAACACAGGCCTAATTCTGTTCCCACTGAAATCAATAATGATTTATCACTGGCTTCAAGACAACGTACTTCTGAAAAGCTTACCTGACTCGCTTGCCTCTCTGTCATCTCTCAATCTTTGCAGAAAATGACAGTAGAGAAAAAGATAAAACCATCCTTGGTATGTAAAAAAACAAAAAAGGCAAATTCATTTTCAGCCTCACTCAGAGCTTTAGAAAATTTAGACTTTTTCCTTTTCTGATACCCAAAATTCATAGGAAAAATAGCAAAAAAAAAAAAAAAAAAAAATTAAAAAAAAAAAAATTGAAAAAGAACATACTTCAACAGATCTAGAAATTAAGTATGAGCCAATAGAGTCAGCTGTCAACACAGACTCCACTATAATCAGGCTTGTTGACTCCTAAGCAATTCAGCAACTGCAGAGAAGGTTAAACCTAAGCTAGGCATTTAGATTACATCAAAAATCATACTTCTAACATACTACAACATGTCAAAAAATAATACCTGCTAAAAGCCTAAAAGGTGGGCATTATGTTTGAGTATCACCATCTTTTTTCATTACTCCAGACAACAACAAAGTAAAATCACAATCAGAGAAAGGTTATGGTGGTGATCTTCAGACTTAAGAGCCTTTCTTATAATTCAACAGTCCATTTACTTACTGAAACTGCTGTAATCTTCTAGGCTGAAATTCCATTTTTTCATAGTAGGATCTAAAATTAGGCAGAATGTGAGTTATTTGAGGTAGAAAAAAGTGGTGCTGTAAAACGTTTATGCCAGACAATACAGAATCATTCTACACATGAAAATTTCTCAACAGACATCTGAAAAACAGCATGCCCAGGCTTACAGCTACATGGCACCAAATAAGGCCACAGGGCACATTAATGCTAAGGCAAGGAGAATGCAGCAGTCATTCACAGGGAGCAACATCTGTGGGAAACAAAAAGAGAATATAACAAAGGCATAGAGAAAAGATTAGCAAGTAGAGAACTCCACTACTCTCAATAACCCAGTTAATACTCAGCCCACTGACTCTGAAGTGGCCTATTTTCCCATACTAATTCATTAATAACTTCCTTCATTTCCAAAACACAGACCAGCTACCAACACTAAACTTCCTTGAGCAGCTCATAAAACTTTTGATTTCTTGGCTAAATCCAAACTCAAGATTTTATGCTCAGAATATCTTTTCAGTTCCAGCCTTGACTTTTCCAGTGCCCCATTAATACCATACCATATATTTGATCCCAACACTAGATGCCCTGCTAAAAACATAATGCTACTCCAGTTTCAGCACATATTGAAACTGCAATCAAAACATAGAACAGAGAAAACAGCAACGAATCAATTCTTACCATATTTTCTGGTTGGTATCTTCTTAAACAAAGCAATAAGTTCAGCATTATACCCTACTTCAACCTGGAAACGGTCTTCCCCATATTTCACACATTTTCCTTTTGTGACAGGATTTGCTTTCTTGCAAGAGGCAGCTTTGATAGAGTCTGCAACAGCAGGGCTGGTCAGCTTCTGCATCTTACCACTGCTTGGAAAGGCACCACTTCCCCCCTGTCTTTCTGTTTCTGGTCTGTTTATATTTATCACCATTTCTGAAGAACTCAGAGTGGTGCTGCTTGGTGATGAAGCATATTTTATAGCAGATTTGCTCTGACTTTGTAAATCTTTAATACCATCAGAGTTCCTGTTACCAGTTAAATTAGGGTGAGATGTTTCTGTAGGGTTTTTGAAAGCTGGGTAACACTTGGGCCGCTGGAATGTACCAGGATTAATTAAAGCTTGTTGTCCATATTGTCCATCTGAGTAATGTTGATGGGAATAACTCGGAGAATTTGGGATCGACGTAGGGAACTGCTTAATGCCACTTGCTTGTTTTGAGTCCTCTGAACAATTCTTTTGTTGCTCTCCCTGTGAACCAGCCATCTGTTGGCTTGCAGTGTAATTATTATAATCTTTCTGAAGATAGCTCTTCTGCTCCGCAGGAGTGTCTGGATTCTGTTGGGGCAGGCTAATGAACCTGACATGATTGTTATCTTGCTTCAAGCTTCCTCGATTGTCTGGATTCTGTTCTTCTACCTGAGGCCCAGTGATCCCCAGTTGCCCACCTTGCTGGGCTGCTAGCCTCTCTGCTCTCCTAGCCAAAGCTTTTTGGCGGTTCTCTTCAATTCTTCTCTTTTGCTCCTCTGTAAGGCCAGATGACATCTTCACCATTTCAAACAAACCTGAGTCAGTACATCAGTATTTCATCTCAGAGGCACCTGCTCTTTGACAGGAGGCCAGTCTGAAAAAGAAAGCAGCAGAAGTTCCAACTTTGTCCCAGGCAAGCTTAATGCACTGACAACTCATTGCTATCAGTGACTGGTTTCTAACAACCTTTCAGTCCTCAGGCATCTCCCAGCACATAGCAGACACACACTCAGCTGCAGAAGGGAGTGTCAGCTCCTCCCTTGAGAAGGGTCCTCTTGTTGCTGTGTTTGTGAAGAGCTCACTGAAAGCGAGCAGCAGGCCCCCACCACACCTCCTCGGCCTCTTCTGTGAGAGGCTGCCCACCTCCTCCAGTGCTCAGAGATGGACTTAACTAACTGTACAAAGTCAGGCCCTCTTCCCATCCCCACCCCCCTCCCACAGCTGATGTTCCATCTCTGCCCCAAACCTGCAGGATAAGGAACTACCCGGCCTCTTCAGGGCCCGGGAGCCACCCCACACCCAAAACACTTCCCACTCTCCAGGCTCCCCGCTGCCCACAAAGGCCCAGCACCCTACCACAGACCGCAGCTCCCCCACCCCTGCTGCAACGTATGGGCTTAGCCCTGACCGGCCCTCCACGAACGCCCGCACACCCACCGGCGGGCAGAGGCCAGCACCGACGCCTCAGGGCGCGCAGCCGCGCAGACTACATCTCCCATCGGCGCCCACCGTGCCGCCCGATGGCGCCAAACTGCCGGAGGCGCGCGGCACGCTGGGAAATTGAGTCTTCCCCGCGCGGCGCCATCTTTGAGCCGCTAAGGGTAAGGGAATCTGGGTGGGAGGGGTCAGAGGCAGAGTCAGCTGTGCTGCGTTGTGCTCCTGATCACGTGCGGGGTGTGCGACCTCCGTTGCAAGCTACGGGCTGATGTTTTGTCCCCTGGTGCACCAAGACGTTTTGGTGCAGAGTTAAAAACATTAGTAATGCATTTGAAAAAGCGATACTGCCTTCATAATAATGTAATTATTCACATTTTTATTAAGGTTCAGAATAGAAGTGTTTCCATGGGTTTTAATTATGCATATCAAGTTGTCCTTCCTGGACAGCCAGGATTTCTTTCTATGTTGCCAGGCGGGGGGGGGGGGGGGGCGGGGGGGGTTCCCCCATCCGTATCTCATGCTGTTACTGTCCTGTCCAGTGGCAGCTCTGGAGCCATCTGCTCCATTTCAAAATGCCATTTTCTCTCACACACCCCTCAGCTGGGGATGCGGCAACCAGCTGGTTGTTTTGCAGTTTATTTATTCATCCTCTCTGCTAGTTAATTAAAAAATGTTATCCTTAAATTGCTTCCTGATTAAGCAGCGGTAACTGTCATTAGTCAGGAGCTCGTCAGCCTGAGAAAAACAAGGCAGGCAGTGAGATCAAGATGTGACCTGACACACAGCCATGTGAGTGCCCTTACTCACTATGTACGTGCACAGATTCTCCCAAACATACAATTTAAAAAGCAAACAAAAAAAAAAACCCACCACACAACAAAAATGAGACTGAGGAGGTCTGGGTCCAGAGTTTGGTCCCAGCTTCTCTTAGGAAGTAGAAAGAAAAAAGCTGAAAAGACAGCAGAGCAGGGTGTGCAAGGAAAGGAGGCTCACCCTATGTTTTCTCACATCCTTTCTGTTTACTCTTTTTATCCCCATGCAAACCAGCAGACTCCCACTGAGGGAGGAATGGATGCGACATCTTTATTTTTTCTTTCTTTTTACACTTCTAACTGACCAAAACTAGACCAAATCCTGGTACCACAAAGCAGTAAGAGAGAGAACATGCAGGGCATAATCCTGAAAGTATTCCCAGCCAACTCCCTCCCAAGCAGCTCGAGGTCTCTGCTGTTGGGTCCTTATGCTTGAGAGACTTAGGGGAAAAAAAAAAAAGACTTGGGAAAAGTGGAAAAAAGCCCCAGAGGACGGAACCTGGCTCACAGAAAACAATTAGAGAGCATTGTTTTGCAGAGGGAAGAATTGCTCTTGGGTCCCATGATCAGGCAGAGACACAGACAGACGTTGAAGCATTTGCTCCATATGGCACAACTTCAGCAAGGCACAAAGAACAGACCAATCGTGCAGAGAACAGACCTACAAAGCAAGAGGCCATTTGTGAGCAGTTTGCTGGTAGCACTCCAGGTGTCCTTTCAGTCAGAACATGCTTCCAGCAGTGGCTTGGACTCACTCTCTACAAACCAAGTCAGAGTGCAGAGATGCAGTAAGAAAATCCTGGGAGGGCTGCTGGGTCAGCACACCCCAGTTGATATCTCATGTTGAATGTGTCCACTTCTCCTCTTTTCCAACACACTCTCATGGTTCTCTGCATGGGTTGAGCTGTACAACTACATCTCGCAGTCTCTATGGATCTTGGTGAACTACATGCAGAGTCACTGTGTGCATCACAACCATCCAGGAGATGATTGGAAACGCAAACCTCAGCCCACACTCATGGCCCTTGGATGCTCCACCTTCTCAGAGGCCTTTGGAAGCCCACACAAGTTCAGCAACACCATTTCCAGTGCTCAAACATGCTAGTCTTCAACCATATGGAGAGAACCTTAGTTGTTCTCTTTAAAATAAATTCCACGCTCGTGATCATTTCAGCTCCTTCCCAGTTAAAACCTGACAAGTGACTGGACTGGGGATATTCAGGTCAGTTCTTCAGGGAAGATGTCAGGGAAGGAGAAGCAGAGAAAAGCCTGTGGATATGCAGAAGTTTTTTTGTTTTTTTTTTGGGGGGGGGGGCGGGGGGGGAGGTGTTTGTTTGTTTGTTTGTTTTTGTGGTTGGAAAAAACAATTTCCATATGCTTTTAGTGTGTAATGTGAATACTTTCTACAGTACCTGTCCTCCAAGGGCTGAGGGGATGTGTTTGGGATGCTCAGTGGGATCTGAGCTTTCTAATGGAGCACCAGAGCCCCAGATTAAGAGTTCAAGAGAGTGTTTGTCCTGTTCTTGGGTTTTGGACTGGACTTGCGTGTGGTAGTTGACCTCATATCCCCCATTTCTGATTCTCTGTGGGCTTCTGTTGTTAGACAGCCATTGATTCCCTCTGCTTTCTCTTTGCCACTGCACATCACAGACCGTGGCTGACCCACTGGACAGCCCAGCTGTTACCACAAGTAGACTCTGAATAAGGTCTTTTCCCTGAGCATCTCTGTAGCATACAAGTTCAAATTTGGAGTTTGCTAAATCCAGTTGCATCAACACTGATGAAAGAAGATCTCCAGAGCCTTTTGTATGAGATTTTCTAGAATTTAAGGGTTGTTCCCCTCCTCTGATTGACAGCTTAGTGAAGACCACTTCTTTTTCCCTGCTCCTTGTCCACTGGGTGCAAGGAAAATTAGTTGCCCTCACTCTTTTGAAGCAGCCTCTTTTATCTACACAGCTTGTTCTACCCTGGCACACTGAAGCCTTCCTGCTCATGTTTATAGTACAACCCCACCAACAGATTGCAGGGTCTCTTTTCTGCCTTATGTCCTTCTTGGCTGGATTCCCCTCCACAGCTCCAGTACAGAGCAATGGTCTGCACAGCACATGGCCTCCTCTTTGCTGCCAGGCCACCACCACACTCACAGGGCTGCTGCATGGCTGAGCTGGCTCTTCATCTTTTATACAATGCAGCCTAAGTGTGGGGAACAGTTTATTGGCATCTGAAGGAAAGATTTAAAAGAAAAAAAAAAGGGGGGGGGGGGAAGGGAGGGGGAAGGAAGAAAGATCTGCATTAAGATGCAAACAGTGATTCCAAAGCTTCTGTATTGCCAGCATTTAACACAACAGGAGGTGTGATCCCGCTCCAGGAGGCACAGGCAATGTGGTCTCTTCGAAGTCCTGTAGTGTGCTTGAGCTCAGGCCAGACCTCTGCTCTATACAACTGCTTTTTTTTTTTTTTTTTTTTCTTTTTTTCTTTTCTTTCCCCCTTTATTTATTTGTTTTTTTTGTTTTTCTCCAGATGCTGAACAGAGCTTTATCATGATGAAACATGGCTGAACTGGCAGAAGGGTACAAAGAGAGAAGGGGACAACCATGTGCACACAAAGAATTTAATTGCATAAGCTTTGTTTCCTCAGGAAACCAGGCTAAAGAAACAAAAGTTGCATTTCCAGTTCTTTTCTGGAGCTTAAATTACTGGCCTGGTTTTTGAGCTCAGAATAAATAGCTAATCCTAGTGCCGCAGTACTGATATGAAGCCAGCTTTTGAGATCTTGTTTGTTAAAACTAACTACAGTTCTCTGCCTTTTCTCTTCCAGGTGCACAAGATACACAGAGATACTAAGAAATCCTCTAAGCAGGAGCATCAAAGGTGATGATGGTAAATAATTAACCATCAATCTAATGTTAGCAGTCTTTTGCCCTTGCACAGGAGCAGCATCACTCCTTTAAAGATCTCAAAGCACACTTCAGATCAAGAGGTGTTGGCAAAGAGGTAGCAGACTTCTCTGAGACACAAAGTCTGGTCTCAAGGGGGCTTCCAAGACACAGACCCAGGATTGTGGCATGCCAGAGACTTTCCTAAGAGTTCCAATCTTACACTAGATTCTGGTACAGCTGTTTGTCCTAATCTGCTGTGTCTTAGGCCACTACTGCTTTACTGAGGAATGTAGGCTCAGGGCAATCCTCTGCCTCGATCTTTACTTAACCAAGTATGCAGGAAGGTTGTTCTCATCTTAGAAATCTCCACGAAGGCAGAGCATGGAAAGTGAGCCAGAATCTGGCCTTGCCAAGCAGCACAATTAAGCACACAGTTAACTTGAAGTGTGCATGCTAACGTTTGTTATTAAGATTCCTCTCTCAACAGAGATGGTTTTCCTTTATGTTGGGAGTCTCATCTGCTACAGTGGGAAGTCGCAGGGTGATTTGTTTGCTACATTTTGTGTAGCAGCCAGATCTAAAAAACACTTGCTGTCAGCTGTAGTATTTTGCTACTAGCTTGTCTCAGTGACTTCCACTGGGCTACTTGGGACAGCAGTTGCCCCACTCTTGGAGTGTCAGGGCAGCGTGCTCACAAGATGCTGCTGCAGTCACTGCCTGAGTGGTGCTATGCAACTCTCATTATAAATAGCAAGGGTTGTGGGCAATGGGAATGCATGTGCCTGTATTTATGGAGGTATTTCCCCATTTTGATCGCAGTAAAACTCGTGATAGCTAGATCCTAAGAAACAGCTACAAAGGTTCTGCTTAAAAGTGTGTGACTACAGAAAGCAGATGCTCATCAAGTTAAATAAGGAATTTAATTAGCCGGCATTTTATCTTGTTTTCAGCAATATGATGACAAATCACATCTTAATAAAATAACATTAGGGAGCAGCACAATTCCAGTGCTTCAGGAAATGAGAAGCAGTATAAGTTATAGGCCTGTTCCCACCAAAGAATGCATTCTCATTCAGAAATCTGACATGATGTTAAAAGGATAATGTTTTAGCAAAATGGTCCTCTGGCATTTAGAAAGATCTACAGCCACTTCCAGCTTTAAAAGGCTGAAAGTAGAGTGATAGGGGAGAAAAAAGTGGCATGAAGAACACAAGGGACTGGTAGGCAATTAATTTTTTTTTTTTTCAATCCTCCACTGTCAAACACACACAGGGTTCTTTACAGATGAATAAAAGGAGTTGTTCTTTCCCCCATGGGACTATAACTAAACATAGACATGGTGCACTGTGCAATAAGTAGCAGTTTTAATGTTTGTTGTGTTGTCAGATATGTCCA